ATGTGTTAATAGCATGGAAGACCTCAGGGGGTTCCCAAGGTAGTTGAAGATAAGTCCACGTGGGGGTTCCCATGACATTCTAGACTAAGACCATGTGGGGGTTCCCATGTCAGTGATCTAAGACTATGTGGGGGTTCCCATGGCACCCATTGTAAGACCATGTAGGGTTTCCATGACACCTTTATATGTTGTATGTATGGCTTATAGGGTTTGTATATGTGTATTGTTAATTGATTATTTGCTATGTTGACATGATATTGGTATAGAAGACCCGTCGGGGTTCCCGTGGCAGTGGATTGAGACCATGTGGGGGTTCCTATGGCAATTAAGACCATGTGGGGGTTCCTATTGAAGTGGGATAAGACCACATGGGGGTTTTAGTGGCACCCGATGTAAGACCTTGGAGGGTTTCCATGGCATCCCATATGTTTGTATACATGGCTTATGTGATATGTGTAGCATATAGAGCTAATGCGGATTATATGAATATGTGGATTGTGTGGGGTTTGCTTTGGGGAACTCACTAAGGTTCGTGCTTACATTTTTGTTTATGGTTTCAGGTATCATTGTTTTGGAAAGGAATGGCTTAGCTTGATCGCATTGAACACACCCATGTTTTTCCACAATGATGATTTTGGGATGAACTCAGATAAATGTTTTAATTAACAATGTTTTTGGATGTTTGGAATAAATGGTATCTATGCTTGGATTATATTAAAAATGAAATTTTTACCCCTAATTTTTGGGTCGTTACAACAAGAAGCATGCAAACCAACAAGCTAACCTAGATCTAACCCAATGAATCATAAATGTGAGAACTTTATACCATCTAAAGTTGGGAAATAAGATGAATGCTTGGATCTTTAAGCTTGAGCCACACCAATCCACAATGATAAATTTCTCTCTATTTATGTGTACAAAAAATACACAAAAAGGCTCAAGAGTTTCTCTATGGAATTAGGATTTTGAGTTAGCTACTGAAGAGGGTAGATGCTGATGATAAGTAGAGCCTCAAAGGGGTTAATGTCCTTAAATAGGGTTCAAGGTCTTACAATTAGGGGTTGCACCCTGCGCGGTTATGCCCTGCCTAACTTGAGTTATGCCCCCGTAGGGCATAAAACCCTCGTGTCCATTTGATGAGTTATGCCCTGCGTAACTGGTTATTTACGCCTCATGTAGAGCCAAAGTTCTCAAAATATTAAGCTTAAAAACATAAAAAAATATACCTGAGAAATGGGGGTTACAACTCTCCCCTACTTGAATTAGACGTCGTCATCGAAGTCTGTTGCTGTAAATAACTCGAGGTAATCCTCTCTCATCTCCACCTTAGGGTCTTCCATTCACAATAAATAAAAATGTTTTCTTACTTTGTTCATTATTAAAAAAGAAATTTTAAAAGTGAGCAATGGATCAAATTGAATCTGTTTTTGGTCACAAATATTTACAATATTAAGGTTATGTTTGGCGTACTAACTAAGGGGGTGTTTGGGTTGTCTTTTTGAAAGGCAAAAGTCCTTTTTAGAAAAGATAAAGGGCAAAAGATGTTTGGTAAAAACATTTTAAAAGTGACTTTTGGATTTTAGATAGAAGGAAAAATGACTTTTTGTAACTTTTCCAAAAAGTCCTTTTACCTCTTAAAAAGACAAACCAAACACCCCCTAAAAAGCTAGTTGCTAGCTAAAAATATAGTTGATAGCAGAAAAACTAGCTGACAGATGAAAAAGTAGCTGCGAGCTTATAAGCTAGCTGATAAAAATGACCTTTATTAAAATTAGTTGATAAGATAGTTGAAAGATATAAAATACCATAAAAGGACATTTAGGATAATGAGTTTTCTATAATTAATTAAGGGTATATTTGGAATATTTTAATTTTTTTTTTTTTGAAAAACTAGTCTAAGTAGCTTTTTAAAAAGTTAGCTTATAAGTTACTATTTGTGTTGCCAAATATGAAAACTTAAAAAAGCTCGAAAAGTAAGCTAGTTGTGACGTTCCAAAGACAACTAACTTGTTCTGTTTTATTCGGGTTTATTCGGGTTTTGATGAGTTTTACCGAAAAAATGGTAATGATGTCATCGGTGCTGATAGTAGATCAGGTCATTAAGTGAGAAAAATGGCGATGGTGCAATTCATTGGATGAAGCCCATGGAAGACATGGAGAGGAAAAAAAATACCCTAAATTTATAAAATTTGAAAGTATTATACTCCCTTTGTCTCATATTAATAGTACATGTTTCTTTTTTGATTTGTCCCAAAATAATAACATACTTCTAAAAATAAATATCCCTTTTACCTAAATACCCCTCATAATTAGTTAAACTATAATGGAATTAAATGCAACAAAAGGGTAAGATTGTTATTTCACCTAATAAAGTTAGTGATAATTAATGTTTTCTTAATCTGTGTCCTTTTTGTCAGTGGACAATAATTTTGGGACGGAGAGAGTATATAATTAGCGTGAAGACACATATTGATGTCATCAAACAAATGCCACATTTGCAAATAAATGAGGAAATACATAAATTTGTTATGGATGAGAAGAAGCAGATGACGGTGGTACGATGTTAACTAGTGAAGTGAAAACGAAGGTAAAGTGAAGGTAAATAAGTTGTTTATGTTGACCCAAAAAATGCATTAGACATAACTAAAAAAATAATTAAAAAAAAACATAAATAACGGTAAAATAGTAATTTGCCAAAGATTTAACGCATTTTGTTTAGTTGTGTAAGTCTGGGGACCAAGTCCTCAGTGAAAGCCTCAAATAAGGATCATTTTTGCAAAAGGATCCTTTTTGGACCTTAGCTACAAAAAACTCAGGCCCGACCCATGGGGAGCGGCCCATGGGGAGTTCAGAAGGTGCCCATGACCAGGGCCCAAAAAATCATGGGGCCCATTTTTTTTAGCATTTATAGTAAGTTGTGTTTAGGGCCCAAATAGAAATTAGGTTTGGTAAGCATCAAGCGACGCACCGCAAGGAGGGAGCAGGAAAATCAATTTTTTTTGGGGAAAAGAAAAAAAACCGCTTTGATTTCTTCTTCTTCACTGATAACACATGGGTACAAATTACATCATTCTCTTGACAGGAAACAACGAGATTATTGTTGCTAAATATCAGTAGGTTTATATGTTTATGAGGAAATCATCAATCTAACTAGTTATTTCTTTCTTCTTTCTTCACGAAATTCTGAAGGCTGAAGCAACGATTTAAGATGCAATCATCAACCTTGAGGTTTCAAAATAAGAAGGTAAATGATTTCTGAGTTTTGACTTTTATGATTTTTTTCTACTTCCTTTTTTATGGGTTTGTAATAAGTAAGTAAGTAGTTCTTATTTTTTTTGATTCTGAAGGTATAGACAAAGTAGTTTCGAGAACCGAAAGGCACACGGAAGTCAGTTTCGAAAATCAGAAGGATTAAAGAAATCAATTTCTGATTTTTGAAGGTACAATCAACTCAGCTTCTATTTTTTTCCTTTTGGGTTTGTTTTTCATTTTTATTTCTGATTATTTATGATTTATAAGAAGTAAATTAGTTTTTTTTTTCTTTCATTCTTTTTGAATCCTATTTTCTTGTATTCAGATGCATTGAAGAAAAAATCTTCAGATTGTTAATCCTTCTTTAAGATTTAGAAGTTTATGATTTTTAGATTTTTTTGAAGCTTCAGAAAACTAGATGGTAACTTTATGATTTCTGATTTTTTAGATAGAAGCAAGTTAGAGCTTTCTTTTTCTCATACTATAATATAACTTGCTGGTTTCATTTCGTTATTTTTACAGTTTTATTAGAAGCAAATCATCAATCAGAGTTTTATTCTTCAAAATCAAGAAGAGAAGCAAATCACCAAATCAGAGCATTATTATTTAGAAGGATTACAGTTTTCAAGTGTTTTCAAGTTGAAGCAATTTTTTTTTTGTATTATTTTTTCATGAAAATTTAATTTATGTAATTTACAATAAAAATGAAAAAGGTAATTGGTTTGCTTAAATGTTTAGATCTTTCTAGTTTTAGGGTTTATTTTTGTTAAAATGCACAGGGCCTTCAAAATCTCCCGACCGGCCCTGATAGGAACCATTTTTGCAGTTTTTCAAATAAAAACCATGACTATATTGTATAATGATTGTGTATTTAATATTTGAAGTTGAAGAAAGTGAAATGTTATTTAGTATTTAATAAAATAGAGTAACTAGTGAAATAATAATAGAATAACTAGAACCTTAGAGTTAAAAGTTGTCACAACATCGACTAATGCTACTACAACACTATGATGATCTCAACTTCAACCCTCAAGATAAACTCTATTTTACTTTAGTTAATTAGAGGACAAAGATATCAATTAAAATCTCTATCTTGAAATATGTAATCTATAAACAAAGACGAGCTTATAACATGTCATCTTGTTACATTTTGCTAAACTTTCAAGTTATTATTATGAAATGTTAAAGAAGAGTTCATTATATATCATTTAATTAAAGTTTTATCATGGTTAAATGAATTACGTTCACATTTTTTTGGTTATATAGATTATATCTTATCATTTTTTTCTTAAATATGCGTATGACATATCGTAAATGTGTACTTGAATTTATTTTGTATATAATAATACATTTTGCCCACGTCCTATGATTGTATTGTTATATATTTTTACAATTTTATTTAAAGTAAAATGTAGATCTGACTCATAATTTATACAAAAACCCTAAGTTATAGTTAGTTGAAATCGTGAGTTGAATAATTGCACTCTTGGTTCTCTTTTATAATATAAACAAATACTTTTGGATTTTGAGTAAAGAAAGATGAAAAAAAAAAAAAAAAAGTTTCATGGTATCATTGGGCCTAGATTTTTTTTAGCAAGCATCGAGCATGGGCCTTATATTGTATGACTGTAGGCCTGTAGCCTGTTTGCCAATAGCAAAAATATTGGTGACTTTCTTACTGTCCAGCAACTGATCGTTTGCTGGTTTGGATCGGAAGATGACTGAACAACTAATTAATTCAGCCGGTGATGGTGATGGTGATGGCGATGATGAAGCGGTATAGGCAAAATAGAAATCACCAATAAAAATCCCCAATTCAAGCCGATGATATCAAACTCCGTCTCCGAGAGATCAGGTAACCTCTTTCTTAAACTTACACTAATTTTTTTCTTGTAAGCTTATTCCGTGTTCCGAAATTCTACGGAGTTTAACCTGTGTACATTGGTTGATTGATGCTAATTGCTATGTGAGACTCTTAGTTTGATTTTTCTCTTTATATTTTGTTTTCCACAGTATAGTTTTAATAGACCCCATCAGATCCAATAATCAAAGATGATTCTTACGATTTTTTTTTTTTTTTTTTTTTTTTTTTTTTTTTTTTTTTTTTTTGTGTGTTGTCTCAATCTGTCTAGAGCATTTCTTACGGTATAGAAAAGAAAGACGTCTCACTCGCCCTTTAGTACTCCTTTAGGGCCACCATGGTCAATTAGAAGTCTTGTCCCTCTTTTTATCTTATTGGTTGCATTCTTTTTACATTATTGAGTCATATTGTTTTCTTTTTACATTATTGAGTCAATCAGTGCATTATTTTCTACATAATACCTTTTTCATTTCCCATTGGATTTCAATATCCTAAAATGATCATATTATAATTAAATGTTTTTTTTTTTTTTTTGTTGTGATTTTACAGACTTTCTAATGTGAAACTAAAAAAAACCGTTCTACAAATATTTTATTAAATAAAATAACTCTACTTTTGGTTAATAAGTAAAAAATAATTATTGTAATTTCTGAGCTGTGGAGTCTTTTTTTCTGGCTCTTGAGTTGGGGTGTGATGGTTGTTGGAGGGACATGGAGGGATGGAGAGCCTTGAATGTAAGATGACCTGATCGTATGAACCATGTAACACCTTTGTTCTTTATTTTTCTTGCATCAGATAAATGTATGTGTGTGTGTCGATCGTAATCATAAGCATTAATGTATGTGTAAACTATAAATATGCAAAGGAGGTTTTGAAAAATAAATCTACTAGGTTTAGATGAAATATTTTCTTCTCAATTAAATTTGTATTTTTTGCGATGGTTATTTTGATGGATTTAATTTTGTTATTAATATTAAATACAAATTTTCAAGACTTGCAAGTCTTTGAAGGTCTACTTTGGGCCAATTTAAATTTCATGGAAAGTAAGTGTTGTATGCCCCATGCAAATAGGCCACCAATTTGAGTACATCCACTTTAATAATTCATTTTTACAGTTATGACTATATAAACCTTAATCTTCATAGGGACATCTTGGTACATACATCAACACAAACAAAAATCTGTATTTACACGATGCATCGTTGTGTTTTTATAATTTTCTCACTTGTCTTGCTATGCCTTCAGAATACAAGTGCCAACCAATTGGTAGCAGTGGAAGGAGGAAGAGGAGATGATACTAATGGTGTTACCACGAACAAGTGTTTGGATAAGGAGAGAGATGCTCTCCTTCAATTCAAAGCAAACCTTCATGACCCTGATGGTAGTCTCTCTACGTGGAGACCTGAAGATGATGACTGCTGTGCATGGAAAGGAGTCTGGTGCGACAGCCAAACAGGTCATCATGTCACAGATCTTTATTTGTCCGATGCTGGTCTTGTAGGTGAGATTAGCCATTCGTTGGTTAACTTAACCTACTTGAATGTTCTTGATCTTCGCTACAATTCTTTTCATGGAACCATTCCCACCTGCATTGGTTCCTTGACTGAATTAACCGACCTTCGACTTTCCCACAACTCTTTTCATGGAACCATTCCCACCTTCATTGGTTCCTTGACAGAGTTAACGTTACTTGAACTTTCAGACAACTCCTTTTATGGAACCATTCCTCCAGAGTTTGGAAACCTCACCAACTTGGAAGGGCTTTACCTTGGAGATGTTGGAAGATGTAGAGTTGAGAACCTCGACTGGTTGTCTCCTCTCTCTCATTTGGTGCATCTTGAAATGGATGGGACTTCCCTTGCCAAAGCAAACCAGTGGGTAAATGTGATTTCAAGTCTCCGGAAACTATTGTCTTTAAGTTTAGATGGATGTGAGCTCTCACAGGTGATGTATCCATATTCTTCTTCATTTCTCAACTCTTCTTCATCTATTGAATATCTTTATCTCAGAAACAACAATCTCACCTCATCCATGTATCGTTGGTTGTTCCCATTAACCAGCAATAAGCTTTGTCGTCTTGATCTCTCTGGGAACATGTTAGATGGGATTCCCAAATATCTTGGTAACCTCTCTAGTTTATATAGTTTGGACTTTAATAACAACTCTGATGTTGTCAACTTTCCTTCTTTTCTGTACAACTTGTCTGGATGCACATCACTTACATTACGATCCTTGTATGCTGAAAGAAGCCAATTTACAGGGTCTTTCTCCGATATCATCCAAAAGTTTTCATCCCTAAGATATTTGTACCTATCAGATAATCACATAAATGGAACCATAAGCGAGAAATTGTGGGAACTATCCAGCCTTGACCATATTTGCCTTTCTCAAAATCATCTTAGTGGTGCCATCTCTGAAAACATTGGAAATTCGATGGCTTCTATTATAAATCTTTCAAAAAACCCACTCCAAGGAGTTCCTTCCACAGATCATATGTCAAACCTTTCTTATGTAAAGCAGCTTGATCTGAGCTCTTGCAAGCTAGGCCCTCACTTCCCCAGATGGATTCAAAAACTGGAAAAACTTATCCATCTTGATATTTCCAATACTAGTATTTCAGACACAGCTCCTCCAGAAATTTGGAACATGCAATTAAGTTATTTGAATATCTCTTCCAACAACATTAGTGGGGAAGCACCAGATTTATCATCAAGAGATTTTGCCATAACGATAGATTTGAGTTCTAACAGCTTTAACGGTCCAATACCGCATCTTCCTCTGCGTTTGGTATTGTTAAATCTTTCCAGAAACAAATTCTCTGGAGGAATCTCCTTCATATGCCAAATTGTCGGTGGGTTCTTAAAATTTCTTGACCTCTCCCATAACTCTCTAACTGGACAAATTCCAGACTGTTTGTGGCATTTCAAAGAACTAAAAGTTCTCAATCTAGGACACAACAGTCTATCCGGAAGGCTTCCTCCCTCTATTGGATGTTTGATACAACTCGAGGTGTTGTATTTATACAAGAACAGCTTCTCTGGACAATTGCCTCTGTCTCTAAAGAATTGCACGAAGTTAAACTTCTTGGATTTGGGGGCCAACAGATTCTCTGGTAACGTGCCTGCGTGGATTGGGGAAAATTTATCGGGGTTGTATGCTCTTATCCTAAGATCAAACAACTTCTTTGGAACCATCCCTTTACAAGTATGTCAATTACCGAATCTTCAAATTTTAGACTTTTCAAGGAACAATCTCCATGGAAGCATCCCCTCATGTTTGAGTAATCTTACAAGAATGGCTCAAGAAGGATTCTTACCGCCACCAAATGTGCATCCCTATACAGCTCCATCATATCCACATCCATATATTTCATATTCTTCATTAAAAATGTACAATGTCACTGAAACGGAGTATGATGCTCAGGAGGAGTATGTTGACCATGCGATGATCGAGTGGCAAGGAGATGAGCGTGAATTCACCCGTAATCTGGGATTGTTGAAGACCATTGACCTGTCCAGCAACAACTTAACAGGACATATCCCATATGAACTCACCGATCTCCATGAACTGCTTGCCCTGAACTTGTCAAAGAATGCTCTGATCGGAGAGATTCCACAGCAAGTTGGTCAGATGAAAAACCTTTTGGCTTTGGATTTATCTAGAAACAGTTTATCAGGAGGGATACCATCAACCATGTCTCAAATGACTTTGTTGTGTTACCTAGACGTTTCCTCTAATAACTTTTCAGGGAGAATCCCATCTAGCACTCAGCTTCAGTCCTTTCAACATTCAAGCTATGATGGAAATGCAGGACTGTGTGGACCTCCACTTTCAAGAAAATGTCCAGGAGATGAAGAATCACTAGTTGGTAAAAGTGAGGGTGATGGCAAAGACAGGGATGAAGATTGGGGATGGCTCTGTATTGGTGGGGGCACTGGTTTTGTGACAGGATTTTGGATAGCATGTGGCGCTCTACTTCTCAACCATCGTGGGAGACGTGCATTTTTTAACTTTTATGACAGCTTCAGAGACTGGGTTTATGTGACGGTGGTGGTGTTCATTGCAAAATTGCAGAGGATTGCACATATGTAGTTGTCTATATTTGATTCTTCTTTCCTGTTTTGAATGTTGCTTTATAACCCTCCTACTTTTCTTATTTAGGACTAGAGGTATAGTAATGTAAGACCATGTTTCACTTGTAATTGGCAGGGTTTTTAAGTCCCCATTATCAATAAATATGCCACCAACTCCATGGGTGGCAATTTCAGGTTGTGTGGAATGAAACATTTTGAAAAGTTCATTATTTCAGTATGTAGTTATTATTTTATTAATTTATTTTATCGTTTAACCGATTCTCAATGTAAGTTATTCGCAAAATTAGCACTCGAAAGATAATCAATCCTTATATTCAGGTGTCTTTTTATAGGTTATTTACAACAAAATTGGAGAATTTCCTTTGACACATTATGTAGACTAAGGATAAGATGCAATCTATGAGCTCTAAATTTGGGGGTTTCAACTGAGATTTCTGTTTGCGCAAACTGCAAACTACAATAACCTGACTCTAAATTAGATTTATATAAACACAGTTCAAAAGTTGAGTGATAACGTGTTTGTAGTGCCCTCTGTTTGTTCTATCTTACAAAAACCCTTTTATAATTATAGTAGGCTGTCTTAGACCTATTTATCGATTTGGATCAATTGCAATAGTCATTAGCGTAGATATTGTTTGTGACTTCTATTTTCTGATTATGAATAAATCAGAAAATCAACTCCTATCTTTTTTTTTCTTTTTTGCAGATTTTCAAATATATTGTATGCGAATCTTGAGCTTGTGGCCTTGGCTGCAACTCTCATTTCGAAAGGTAATAAATTTAAGTTGTACGTGCAATCTTATTTCTTTGAGTACAACCGATTGGTTGACAATTCATGCTTTGTATTATATCAGTCTGTTTAATACTATGCAATTCATAGAGTAATGGAATTATGTTATTATTTCGTCGAAGCCCTTCTTTATTGAAAATGATGTTATCTTTTGTCTTTTAATCTCAGTTGATTGGTGATCAGGTGCTCTGCTAGGCAAATGTGAGGCATGTATACTTCAACATACCAATGGAATCAGGTTCCTTGGTTTCTCTTTAATTAAAAATTGCTTTATTTGCATTTATTTATAAGAAAATTAACATGGTCCCGTGGTGTGCATTTTTCCGGGTTTTCCTCCAAACCCGAAAAAAAAGGCCCTTTTAGAATTTGATATCGAATTATTGTTATAGCCTAGAGCGTAGTTGTTGGTCCATTTTGCAATAGTATTTGTATTATAAATTAAAAACGCCCCACCCATCTTTTAAAATTATAATTAATTTGTGACAAAACTGGAAAAATGATCCTGTGGTATGCATTTTTTTCCTGGTTTTCATCCAAACCTCGAATTTTTTGACTTCATAGTCCTCTTAGCCATGTTTTTATGTGGAAATGGTCCCTCCGAAAATTTAAATGACTATTATACCCTTCTATTCTTATTTTTACATTTTTTTAATATCTATTTTAATATTTTAATAGTTAAAACAATAGAAGGGGGCCCACACACATCCTCTCTCTCTCTCTCTCTCTCTCTCTCTCTCTCTCTCCAAAATCAATCAATCAATCCACCCCCCAAAACAGAAATTTATAATCTTCCCAACTACGGATTTGGCATAAGGATCCGATTCATATGATCCTGGAGAACCTGCAGGTCCATTGTAGCGTGGTGGTGCATTTGAGCTACCCAAACCCAATGGCGTCGTGTTCTTGTCAGCTAAAACAAGCTAGGGGGAGCCTCGAAGCACCCATCAGCTGGCTAACGACAGCGTACGAGGAGAACGGTGGCCATCAGAGTCAAACTCGTTTGGTGTGAGAGCTGTGAGGATATATTTGATGGAGGTGAAAGATAGTCAAGCCAAGGCTAGAGGTATTCCATATGATTTCTTATGCGCGTGAGAGTGTGTGTGCTCATCTGATTTCATGTGTGTGTGTGTGTGTGTTTGAATCTGAAACCCTAAACATGTATGGGTGTGTGAAGTCGATTATGGAAAACAAACATATAGGTTTGCATTTCAAGAACATGTTTATGCCAAGGTATTCTTGGGTGGATCTGAGATCTCTTTCTTCTCTTTCCTCTCTTTAGGAACAAAATCGAAATTAAACAAGTGAGTTTGTGAATGAAGGGGTTGTTTTGGGTTCTTCAGATCTGGATATAACAAGTGAGTTTGTGAATGAAGGGGTTGTTTTGATTTCATGTGTGTGTGTGTGTGTTTGAGAGAGAGAGAGAGAGAGAGAGAGAGGTTTGAATATGTACAACTAGGTTATAACCTGTGTACTACACAGAACCAACGTAAAATCATTTTAGAAGTTAATAGAAGTTATAATAAATAATACATTTGCAAACAAATATTTTTTAGAAGCTTAAAGTTTTTGTCCGTAACTATAAAATTGTTAGTTTAAACCCGTAGAAATTATGGCTGTGTAAGATTAAAACTATTAATTTACAAAGATTTATTAATTTATTAATTTACAAAGATTAAAGCTTTGTCAGTAATTTTATAATTTTATTTTTAAATTAATATATACAATGTTATAAATATCCAATTTACTTATAATTGTCTTTTAAAATAAATACATACACTATTATGAATATCTGATTTACTTTTTGTATATTTAGATATTTGATAAAATCGCAAAGTTGCATGATACAATATAAAATTTGAGTACAGTTAATGGTCAACTTACCAATTATACCCTCCTAGTTTCAAAAAGAAAGAAAGAAAGTGGTTATTAACATACATATTAAATCAAAAGTAGTAATAAGTAATTTAAAGGTTGTTTAAATTTCTGTAATTTAAAGGTTGTTCAAGTTTATGCGGAAGCAAATGACATGCCAATTGACTAAATATGGATATCTTGCAAGTTTGGATGCGGAATTTACCAAGATGAGGCTTTTCATGAGACCATATTCCTAATTTTGCCAAAAATAAATTGTGTGTTAGGTCCAGAAGGGTAATGATTGCTTGAAGTATTGAATGTATTTTTGACAATATTTTAAGCATTTATCTTAATGACATCTGAAAAATTATTAGACATTTATATTTGTACTTCAAAAAGGTCAACTAAATAAGTAAATACCAACTTTGAAAGAGAGTAATTCAACCTCTAAATTTCTGATCATTTACTACCCAAAAACATCACCAGGAAGAATCTGTTTTGTAGGAAAATAAAATGATAACATATAAAAACATATATATGAAAAATGTATGTACAATGCATAATTCTAAGTCTTATTCTTTACACCATTTTAATTGTAATTTAAGAATTTTTATATTCACATGTAAAAAAATTAAAAGACAACAGAGGCTCATTAAAACCCAATTAAGTGATAAAAAGATAATTTTGTGATGTTAAAATTCCACAAACAAAATTGGGTTAGAATGCAATTTTTCTGTTCCATTACATGATAAATGAAGAAAAAAAGGAACGGAAATTAACAAATGGAGTGAATCACCTTCCTTCGACAGTAGTTTATTCCATTGCTTCCTTCTCTGATCCATTATACTAAACACTACCTTATTCTTTTTAGTAATGATGCGTTAGCACATACCCCAATATGAGCTCATTTAAGCTTTGTGCATACCTTAAATAAATAGGTAGAAGTTTGTAATTATCACTAATTATTTCTACTTTTTCTTCACAACTCCAAATCCAACTTAATGATTGACAGGAGAAAGCAAATTATATGAAATAGTAAATCACCTTTATATTTTTTTATCATCTTTAAACTTTATGCAGTAAGGAAAAACATTTGTAAATTGAAGAATTATCAAATGAGCGTTGCATTACCTCGACAAATCGAGGTTGATTCACCGATTGTTTTCCATGTTTCTTGAATAACAGGTCTTATCATACCCCCAAGAAACTATGATAGAAAAAGGTTGTAGGCTCCCAAGAGAGAATCTCGGTCTATTGATCTCCTCTTTTTCTATCTCATCACCATCACCACTGCATTCCACACAAATCAAGTTCAATTATCAAATTAAAAGGGATATAAATAATAATACCAATTACAAAACTATCTACTTTTAAAGTAAAGAAGCAAAATATACTTCTGTTGTACTTTTATATATATAAACTGACTGAACTAAAAAATGAGTGATTACAAATTGGAATCCTAGCTTTCAAGAGGCTAGTTCTCTCCTTGAGCTTTAACTTTAACAAAAATAGATCCAAGAGGATGACCGACTGAATCTAAACTCCCACTTAAAGATAAACAACATCGACATATCCTAATTGACTAAAAGACCTTATTGCCCCCACCATCTTTACTTAAGTCACATGAGAAGATAAGATGCAATTAAGAAACTGAATAAACCTAAGCACCATGGAAATAATGATGCATTTGGAGAATCTTTGTGTGTGTGTGTGTATATATATATATATATATATATATATATATATATATATATATATATATATATATATATATATATATATATATATATATATAGGGTTAGGTTATTTTATTTTCACTATCTATTGTGTGCATGTATGACTGATTCTGGACCAATCATTTTAGTTATTTTAAGAAAGTAATTAATGCATATTACATCTTGAAGATATAATAGGTATTAATAACATCTTCAGCATTTAATATGCATTAATTATTTTCTTAAAATAACTAAAATGATTGGTCCAGAATCAATCATACAGGCACACAATAGATAGTGAAAACATTTAAACCTAACTCTCTCTCTTTTTCTCTCTCTCTCTCTCTCTCTCTCTCTCTCTATATATATATATATATATATATATATATATATATATATATATATATATATATATATATCACATTAGTTGTTGTAATTCTCCTATAAGTGCTTCTGTGCTTGAATCATACCAATCATAGATTAAAAGATAACTTTCCTTGTGAACTCAAATACCATTTTTCCTTTTTTCCTTTTTTTTTTTTTTTTTTTTTTTTTTTTTTTTTTTTTTTTTTGCAGTGCTTTTATATACTCGAAAGGGATATTGAAAGTGCACATCTCTAACTACCACAAATTTCCATATACAAATGCATAAAGTTCCCCTACTGTGGGCTATCTACCACACTTATGATCGACATCTTAGCTTTTCTCATTGCAGTCTCAAAAAGCCACAAACTTTGTGTCTTAGTATAATGTTTACTATATACATTGGCAGTTGTATAGAAAATACGCACCTTGAATCTTGATGGTAGACCTTGTACATTTCAAAGTTCAAAGTAGAACTTTCCTAAGATAAGAGTAATATGAAGGTTTGGAATTCATAAAAAAACGAAAATGAGACTTCAAATTTGGGATGTTTTTGGTGTTCTTCATCATATCCAATTTACTCAAGGATAAAAAAAAAAAAAAAAGACAACGTACCTCCCTTTCCAGCAAACTACATCCAAATCTTTAACCCCATATAAATAATAATGATGTCGTCAATTTGATGTTATTCACGGTGAGGATTATGGTTCGATTAAAAACCCTAGAAAATTCAAAATACCAAAGAAAATTAAGAATCAAGAGTGATGTAGAAGAGAAGAAGGGTGGTTATAGGCATCCTTTCTCTTGTATGGAAGATTCATGATAATCAACTCTCAAAATCGATGGCAGAATTACAGTGAGGAAATGCGTTTCAATTATGTTTATTAGAGTTATTTTTGGTATCAGATAATATTTAAAACTGAATTGCTAATATTAAGGGATGTGATATATTACCCTAAATAACAATTGAGCAGGAATTTGAGTAAAAAGACATCCGGGTAAGGACACGTGGCAAGTGGGAGGTGCAAAAGAGGGACACGTGGCTTGCAAAGTACTCTTTTATTAAGAATAGATACACAAATGACAATTATTTAAAAAGTTATAATAATAATAAATAATAAAAATGAAAACTATAAAAAAAACAAATTATATAACTGACCAAATGCTTAACTTTAAAATATAATAAATGATCAAAATTGCAATTTATAAGGTACCAATAATTTAACTTTGGAATTATGAAGAATAAAAACGATTAAACAAAAATTGGTTTAGGGATAAAAATGTTTAAGAAGTGAAATTTAGGAGGTGCAAATGGAAAATGAAATGAAGAGTGCCCATGTGATTTTTAATTAATATATATATATATATATATATATATATATATATATATATATATATATATATATATATATATATATATATATACACACGAAATCTACATAAATTTAAGCACGAAAATGTAAAAAAAAATACATCAAAACGTAGACAAATTTGAATTTAAACGACACGTAAATTAAAAAACAAGTAAATTTTTGAAAAAGAAATTAATGAAACGGAAGGTTTAAATTCCCATTGAAACATAGATCATCATGAATTTATACCAAAACATATATAAAAATAAACATATAAAAATAGTTTTTTTTTAAGTTAAGGAACCAAAATTATTAAAAAATCAAATTATATAAAGTTTGAGGGTAAAAACGAAAGTTTAGAAAATAAATAAACGAAAATAACATTTTATAAATATTAAAATGAAATCATCAAAGTGACATTTTAAAAAAATAAAGGACAAAAAATTACTTGCATCATAAACTCAATCCCTGAATGACCAAATTACCCTCACTGACCAAAACTAATGGTATTAGCAAAAAAGATCATTCATGCAAGTTTTGAAACACCAAAGGGACTATATTTGTCAAAAAAAAATCAAGAATGACTAAATTTGTCACTCTTCGTAAACTATATGGATCTTTTATATAATTTTATCTAAAAAAACAGCTATTATTGGTATTTTGTAAACAGGTCGTTTGGTTCGTTATTTTTAACATTTCAATCGATCAGATTTAGGTGATCGTTGAATGAATCATTTGACCCCCTATCCCCCTAATCCCGCCTGCTTCCTTCTTTTATCATCTGAGCGACACCCATCTCCTGGCGACTGTTCCTTCCATCGGAGCCCCTTCTCCTGCACCGACCTTCCCATCGGAGTTCCTCTCCGGCGGCACAACAATCGCTCCCCTTCCTCCTCGTATTTCTGAATAGCGCCTCTTCATTCGTTGCTGAAATTCACGTACCATCTCGTCTCTGCATCTCTGTGGTACCAATTCGACTTCGACATCAATTTTTGATTTGTGTTATTTTGTGTTTAGGTTTAATTGTAGTGATATTGGGAGGCATTCGTGTTATCTTTGAATGATTTTATGATGTAATACTTGCAAAAAAACATGGAAGTGAACCAAAAGGTCAAGCATTCGTGATATTTTCGTTGGCTACTGCATCCTAATTCATCTTAAATTCCTTCCTTTTTTGTGTATTTCTTGATTGATGTTGAAAATGAACAAATTCTTCTATGATTTGAAATATGAGGATGTCAAGTTTCTGATGCTATCCATGTTATGTTTGGATTTAGGAAGTAAGAGGATGTTTGAAAATGATTAATTTTTTCAGTTATGTTTTGTACTTTTACATGCATATGAAGTGTTTGATATAATGCTTGAATGAAATCAATGTTTTTTTTAATCTCACAAGACGAGTAAGAAATAAACAAATTAGCCACTGTGACATTTGAAAGACCAACTGCAGTTATGCATACATATGACAATCACCTTTGTGTATTTGTGATTACAATCTATCATTTTGTAGCTATATTACACTTTTAGTTTGGAACCTCATGGTATTTATTGTTTCATTGTGTTAGAAGCTTTTGCAGGATGATAGTTAATCGCTTGGTGTCATTTCTAATTGTAATTGTTTTTGAATCCTCAATGATGTCTTGGTGTAGTTGGGATAGTCAAAATTCCCTATATGCTGTAGTTTTAATGAAAAATATGAATAGAAAAAGGAAGAACATATTATTTGGTTTTCTAGAATACTTCTTTCTAATTCCCTTAATTTTGGTAAGTTGCTGTCCAAATTTTTATGGAGATAATGAGTTATGTTTGGCTTAAGGTTCTTAGGCATTTTATTGGCCATTTCACGGATAAAATCTTGATATTCAACTCACACCTATTGTTTGCAAATGGGTTTCATAACATTAAAGATGGATATTCATATAGGAATTAAAAAAAAAAGTTAATCAATGATAAAAAAAAAAATTGTTGGTTTGAGTTGTAGTGTTCTAATAATTTTTGTGTGTATTAATAAATGTTACTGATATAAATAGAGGTTACTACATAATTTAAAAATAAACAAGAAGTCAAAATATGGTTCCATTTTCTATAAATGATTAATAAAATATTGTATTATACGCATTTGAAGTTTTTTTTTTTTTTTTTAGAATTGTAAATGTTAATTTTTCTCACATCCATTCACCAACCATATTAAACAACAGAGGATCAGGCCTTTTAATGATTTAGACCTCTTGATGGTTCAACATTGAATCATTAAGTTTCTACCAAACAGTCCCTAAGTTATTTTGTCACTTTGTTTAATTACCCCCAATGTTTCCTTCTTTTAATAGACACATACACCAACCAAGTTTATTCCCCCAAAATTTCATAAACGTTAAACCCATTTTCTATTTCTTTGTCTTCATCGTTGTTTAGCTAATGGATTTCATCTTCTTAATGTCTTGCTCAGAAAATAATAACGGCTGAGATGTAATTACCTTTCTCTTGGTTTTACCTTAATTTAATTCTAATGATTATGTTTAAGTCACTTTTTCGTTACTGTTTATGTTAGAACTTGTGTAAACCAATAGTATAAATATGAATATATATTACAGAAATCAAATTTAAACACTATCAATAAACATAAACAAGAAACTTACAGATGAACATTACAGATTGAATACAAGATAGAGGCTTGCAAAGCAATGTCCTAAAATAGAAATTTGTCCCTATTAGTACAATAGTATATGAACCCCTGAATAGAGGATACAACTATCTTCAATCAAGTTCTTGCACTAGAACTTGATCTTTGGTGAATTTACTGTATGCGTCCATGAAATTATTTAGAGAGGGAAACATTTGTTTTTTTTAGTCGTTCATCCAAGAGTCCTGGCAAATCAGATTTGATGTCTTATAATAGGATCGACATGAAACCGTCAAAATTCAGTTTTGATAACTTCTCAAAACGAATTTTATCCCAATAAAACCAAAATTAAAATAATAATAATAAGTAAAAATAATTCTGGATTTATTTCATAAGACTAGCCCATCTTAAGTTCTTAGTCCATTGTAGTAGAATTAAGAGAACAAACCTTTTAAAAATCCAAAAATTTGATGTTCCTTCCTATGTGGGATACGAAACTTTGACAAAATTATATAAACACCAACATATGTTACTTCGTTTGAATGAGTAAGAATATTTCTGAATTAAAATGAAAGTGAAAATAGATATACACCATTTTTTTTGTCCACAAATAAATGTTTTCTAAATAGGCCTATACTATTACAGTATACTAGTATATTTACGGCTTGCTTTTGATGGGCCAGGACGCTTGCCTAAATAGCCCATGTTATGCTTTTTGTGGGTCGGGCGTCTAGTTGAGCACTGCCTTGAAATTTACTCCAAAAACGCTCTGAATTCCGACTACAGTACAGAGGTTCCGGTAACTTTGAAACATTCACAGAAGCAGAAGCAGTCAAAGAGGAATCAACACTAAAAGCCCCAAATTTAAGCGTTGATAGCAAGTTTCTCGTCGAAAATCCGGTATTATCTTTCTCAAATTATATGTTTTTCCTAAAATTCGGTAACTGTGAGACTCTTAGTTTGATTTATTGTTGTATATTCCACTCTACAGCGCTTATGGATCTCATAATCATGTTCATTTAGCTATAAGAGAATGTATCTAATCTAGCTGTTTTTTCTGAACGCCTCTCTTAGATTTTACTCTAGCATGGCAACCAGCTACACAATTCATTAAAAGTCTTGTTCTTCTCATCATATTGTCGAATCAACATTTTGTTCTTTTTACATATTTAGTCAAACACTTCATTTTTTTTTTATACCAAGTACGTTACATTATATTGTGCAAGGACAATGATATGACCAAACATCTTTTATGGTCCCATGTTTCTTAACTATTCATTCATTTATATATATAACAATTAAAGGTGTACTAGTTCTGTTGCCTCTTTTATATTGGTTTATGTGTGAAAAGAAAAAATTAATCTGTTTAACATAGTACCAATGCTAGGGAGGTCTAGAAAGTGTGGTTGTCCATTCTTTAATTTTGTTGATGTAAAGGAATTGCGTTCGATTGTTTTTAAAAATATATAAATTGCAAGTTTGTTAGTGCTACCCTTTTGTTTCAGAGTCAATACCAGTGTAGCACTTTTTACAAAAAAAAAAAAAAAAGATGTTATTTTTAACAATGTAGAAGACCATGGATCAAAGAAGAAACGGACACTTGGATTGTTTCTAACTAGTTTACGACTTAATTAATTTAAGTGAGATAAGTTCATTTCATAGTCATTTAATTCTTGGACCCAAATGATATCTATCACTGTACTCATTGATATCTACTATATTTGATTTCATCAGTTTGATTTTAGGGACTCATGTCATATAACTAAAGGATCAAAAACTATCACAAGATGGGAAAAGATATAAATCATACGTACAAATTTCCAAGACTTGTAAGTCTTTAAATGTCTAATTTGGGGGAAGCTGTTTCAATTCATCTTTAATCTGTCTTACATTTTCGTTGAAATTTCATAGAAATTACGTATGGTAGGCCTCACACAAATAGACCACCAGTTTGAGGTTGTTCATTTGAATTTTTCAACTTCACAATTGAGACTATATAAAACCCTCATGAGGGGCAGTTTGTATATGCATCACTACTGAAAAAAAAATCATCAAGATTTTATTAACATTAATACATAATGAATCTTTGTGTTTTTATAATTTTCCAACTTCTCTTGCTACGCCTTGAGACTACAACTTCCAACCAAGTGGGTGGAGGAGATGACAATGTTGTTATGAAAAAGTGTTCCGATAAGGAGAGACGTGCACTTCTTGATTTCAAAGCTCGCCTCCAAGACCCTGATGAAACTCTCTCTACATGGAGATCTGAAGAAGAAGAAGATTGTTGTAAATGGAGAGGAGTCACATGCAACAACCAAACAGGTCGTGTCATCAAGCTAAGTATTATCTCTGGTGGCCTTGAAGGTGAGGTTAGCAATTCTTTGCTTAATTTAAGCTATCTGACTCATCTTGATCTCTTCTCTAATTCTTTTCATGGAATTATTCCCACGTTCATTGGTTCCATGACTCGTTTAAGGCACCTTCACCTTGGTTCGAATCATTTGAATGGAACCATTCCCAGGTTCATTTGCTCCATGACCAAATTAAGGTACCTCAACCTTGGCAATAATGATCTTAAGGGAACCATTCCCAGATGCATTGGTTCCTTGACAGAATTAAGGCACCTTGACCTTTCTGCTAACTCTTTTTATGGAATCATTCCTCCAGAGTTTGGAAATCTCACCAACTTGCAATACCTTTACCTTGGAGTTGTTGGCAGATGTAGAGTTGAGAACCTACACTGGTTGTCTTCTCTATCCCATTTGCAGCAACTTGGGATGGATGGGATTTCCCTAGCCAAACAAAATCATTGGGTAGATGTAATTTCAAGTCTCCAAAGCCTATCATGGTTAAGTTTAGATGGATGTGAGCTGTCACAGGTCATGTATCCATATTCTTCTTCATTTCTCAACTCTTCTTCTTCATCTATTGAAGTCCTTTATCTTGGAAACAACAGTCTCACCTCATCCATGTATCGTTGGTTGTTCCCATTAACCACCAATAAGCTTCAAATCCTTGATCTCTCTAGCAACATGTTAGATGGGATACCCAAATATCTTGGTAATCTCTGTAGTTTGGAAAGTTTGAGCTTTGCTAACAACTCTGCTGTTGTCAATTTTCCTGATTTTCTCAACAACTTGTCGTCTGGATGCACATCTCTCACATTACAAGGGTTGTATGTTGGACATAACCGATTTATAGGGACACTCTCCAATGAGACCCTAACATTGAAAAATCTTGCCAATCTTGATATGAACTCTTGCAATCTAGGGCCTCACTTCCCCAGATGGATTCAAACTCTGAAAAATCTTTCGTATCTTGATATTGCCAATAATGGAATTTCAGACACAATTCCTCTAGGGTTTTGGGACATGTGGCCTTCTAAATTAACATATCTCAATCTCTCTTCCAACAACATCAGCGGGAAAGCACCAGATTTATCATCAAATTTTGGCAACAATTCTATCATAGATTTGAGTTCCAATAGATTTTATGGTCCAATAACAAACGTCTCTTCCACTCTGACATCACTGCATCTTTCTAGAAACAAATTCTCTGGTGGAATCTCCTTCTTATGCCAAATTGACCAGGGGTTTTTAGTTGTTCTTGACCTCTCCCATAATTTTCTAAGCGGACAACTTCCAGACTGTTTGTGGGATTTCAAAGAACTAAAAATTCTTAATCTAGAACACAACAATCTATCTGGAATGCTTCCTACCTCTGTTGGATCTTTGATAAAGTTAGAGGTATTGTATTTGTACAAGAACAACTTATCTGGAGAATTGCCTTTGTCTTTAAAGAATTTCAAAAGGTTAAGTTTTTTGAATTTGGAGGCCAACAAGTTTTCTGGTAACGTGCCTGTTTGGATTGGGGAAAACTTATCAAGGTTGTATGTCCTTAACCTAAGGTCAAACTCGTTCTTTGGAACCATCCCTTTACAGTTATGTCAGTTAGCTAATCTTCAAATTTTGGATTTGTCACTGAACAATCTCCATGGACCCATCCCCTCGTGTTTGGATAATCTTACAAACATGGTTCAAGAAGGTTCATTAGCAACACATAATGTACATTCCTATTCAGTTAAATTGTTTTTCCCAAAAGATGGTGTTTATGTTTTACTTGTTGATGAGTATCTTGACCATGCAATGATGGAGTGGAAAGGATATGAACGCGAACTCACCAGTACTCTGAGATTGTTAAAGAGCATTGACTTGTCAAGCAACCACCTAACAGGACAAATTCCATCTGAAGTTACCAATCTCTATGGACTGCATACACTCAACTTGTCAAACAATGGTCTGCTTGGAGAAATTCCAGAAAAAATTGGTCAATTGAAACAACTTGAAACATTGGATTTATCTAGCAACAACTTGTCTGGAGAGATGCCATTAAGCATGTCTAGTATGCATTTTTTAAATCATCTTGACGTGTCATATAATAACTTGTCAGGGAGAATTCCATCCAGCACTCAATTGCAGTCTATTGATCCTTCAAGATACATTGGAAACCCGAGACTATGTGGACGTCCCCTTACCAAAAAATGTCATGGAGATGATGAGTCAGAAGTACCACATGTCATTGGTGAGAGGGAGGATGGTGGGGAAGACACAGATGAAGTTTGGGGGTGGTTTTTTATTGGTGGAGGCACTGGCTTCGTTACTGGATTCTGGATTGCATATGGTGCTCTACTTCTCAATCGTCGTGGGAGACATGCTTTTTTTCATTTTTATGATAGATGCAAAGATTTCGTTTATGTGAAAGTGATGGTTTTCTTTGCAAAACTGCGAAGGGTTGAAGAACATAGATAGTCTGGTAACTAAATCATGCTTCACTTGTATTTGACTGGTGTTTTTATGTCCCCAGTATTAATAAAATTGCCACCGACACCATGGGTTGCCATTTTCCAGCTTTGTGCTCAACTAAGGCAACCTGAAAACATTGTATTTTAAATCTAGTTAATTAATGTTGTATTTGTTTTTAGTACACAATTTTATAGGACAAATCTCAATGTAGGTTATCTGTGGAAGTGATACTAAAATATGGTCCATCCATATTTTAGTACACAATTTTACTCACATGCTTTAATTTGTGGGTGATTTACACAAGATTGGCTAAACTGGACTAATAGATCGATAAACAAAGAACATGAACTCTAAATTTGGGATTTTCAGTTTAGACTTTCTATGAAAGCAGGATTTGGTTATATACTAGAATAATTATGTCTTTTTGATTGAATTTAATTGTCATACATTAGGTTTAATACGGAGCTCCTTTAATTAGAGTATATATCATACAGATTATGAGGTTAAGATGTCTTTCTATGTATTTTCTCAAATTAAACTTTATGTTATAAGGTAAGAATATTTATTAAAAAAATATATCCAAATTCCAAGTAACAATTACATATCTGATTAGATAGCCATCATTCTAGTTATTATACCCAAAATGTTATTATTATTATTATTATTTTTCATTTTTATATGATATAAGTTTTTAATTTACAAAATAATTACAAAAACAATAATCTTAAAATGGTTGATTTTACAATTTTATCCATCATAGTCAATGTTTTAAAAAATGGATTGGTCATCTTAGTTCGATGGTCAAACAGTCGGACTGATCCAAAAACCCGGATGACATCATTATTATTTATAACTAAATATAAAATTATAAAAATAGTACAAAATATAAAAATAACCTCCTTGCAGCCAGTGGATGGAAGTTTCACAAAAAAAAACCTTCACATATTGTTTTATAAGAGTCCTCTTTACATATGTCTAAATAATATAATGTGATTAATATAATTATAAAAAAACATGTTAAGAGAGATCAAAGGGCATGTGTAGCATTCATTTTGGTGGATAGTTGTGTGTCCCACATTGACTCAACAAAGAAAGAAGTGCACAAAAACCGTATTCCCGGACCAAAAAAACCAAAACCTGTCTACAAAAATACTGAACCTTTTCGAGACCGGTCTTGGCCTGTTAATGTGCATATGATATTTGTTTCGGTCTTGGGCGTTGTGATCGTAAAACGACTTGTCTACCTCAAAAGGAAAATCAATAAAAAAGGAGTGGTTAAACCCATAGAGGAAAAACACGCAAACAAAAAACTACAATGGTATGATTCATAAAGTAACATACATACAAAAAAAATACTACTTCAAGAAAAGTTGTATACATATAGACCAGTAAATCCAAGATAATCAAGCAATCATGATCCGATCCTCAATATTTACATAAAATAAAAGCAATAACCAAAAAAAATATATTACAAACTGTCATAGTGTCATCGAAATTAATTGGTTTGAACTGATAAAAATATATTTAGAATATGGAAGTAGACTTACTTGACAAAATCATTGCCCATATGGGCCGGTACAATTACATTGGTTTTTCTTTGTAGGCGGTGGTAGTTTATTCTTTGCATGTTCCCATATTTTTTGTTGTTATGTAATGTAATCATTCTGTATGGGGCTTGCATTTAATGGGCCCTAACGCATTTGCCTAGCAAAACAGGCTACACTGTTTGTGGGCCAATTTGTCTTACTGTTTTTTGGTTCGATGAATTTCAAGCTACAAGGCACCGGTGAGAGTGAACTTATGAAGGTGAAACAGAAGCAGTAGCAGGCAAAAGAGAAATCGGCACTTAAAAATCCCCAATTCAAGCTTACTATTGATCATAGCTCATATCTTCTCCAAGATCTGGTACCATGTTTCTTATCATTACATTGTTGAATCACCATTGCATTCTTTTTACATTATTAGTCAACACTACATTCTTTTCTAACAAATACATTCTGATTGTTCATATTCTGCAACGTTCATAACATGATTTAATTTTATAGTTAATAAAGATGTAATTAAAATGTTTAAATGTTTAATATAGATGGTTAATAAAAAGAATTCATTTAATTTTTCTAAAATAGTTGGATTATGATCTAGTTGATTATTATCTCTAGATTGAATATAACCTTTAGGAATTATCTCCTAGATTAGGGTTATCCTTTTTTGAACTAAGATTAGTCTTAATTTCCATAAGTATTTATGTCTTCTAGCTTAGAAATTTCTGGAGATTGTTTGCTAAAAGCTTTTGTAATTGGCTTTTTTTTCCCTAAGTGCAAGAAATACCAATGTACTTTGGTATCAATAAGTGTATGTTGATTTGGTAATTGTGTTTGTAATCGTGTTTTTGTCCCAAAGAAAAGAAATAGCAATGTATTTTGGTATTTCTTGTATTTAAGGTTTTTTAGCACAAAATAAGTAGAAAGTAAGCTACCATTTCTTGTAAAATAAGACTATTTAATTTTAAAGTCTCATATATCTACATAATGATCAATAAATGCATGTTGATTATTAATTGTATTTGTCATTGTGTCAATGTTCCAAGTGCAAGGAATAGCAATGTACCTTGGTTTTTTGTCCCTGGTCTAAATTCTAAAAATAAAAATGTTACTTTTGGCATCTATAAATGCATTATGATTTGGTAATTATGTTTATGTCCCAAGTGAAACAAAATATCAATTTACTTTTGGTATTTCTTGTATTTAAGTGCAGAAAATAGCAATGTACTTTGGTAGTTTTTGTTTATTCAGGGAAACCACCAAGTGATGCTCAAGGAGGAAACGAGGGGAGTGAAGATGGTGGTTCGTCGAATTACTTTGTGTTTCATTAGACTTGTTATGACATAAATTAATAACACTTTTATTGTTTGTTTTGGTATTTGTTTGAAATTATAACACTTTGGTACTTAATTGGATGTTGTTATGTATTTTTTTTTTTTTTTGTGCTATCAGAATGTGAAACAGAAGCAGAAGCAGTGTTGTCTGTGACATAAATTAATCGTGTGTCTCCGGTAATAGTGTTGTCGGTAATAGTCATTTTTTTTAATTCAGCTCTTTTCAGGTGCAGAAAAACCGATACGTAACGACATTAATAGCTGAATTCCTACTGCAGTGTAGAGGCGCCGGTGACTGTGAAACAGAAGCAGAAGCAGTCAAAGAGGAATCAACACTAAAAGCCCCAAATTTAAGCGTACTGTTGATAATATTGATAGCAAGTTTCTCGTCGAAAATCCGGTATTATCTTTCTCAAATTTTATGTTTTACGTAGAATTAGAGCCCGCCTTCCGAAATTCCTGAAGAATAACTTATGCTAATTGGTCAATTGATGCTATTTGAGGCTCTTAATTTGATTTGTTGTTGTATATTCCACTTTATAACGAATATAGATCTCATGATCATGTTCATTTAGCTATTAGAGAATGAATCTAATCTAGCTGTTTTTCTCAGCGCTCTTCTCTTACATTTTAAGATCGAATCCAATATTGAGATTGAAACAAAAGATGAAAACTTTTCAGTCATTTTCTTATTCACATCACAATTTTTTATATACAGGGAAGAATTAGCCTAAACTAGGAAAGAGATAATCTACTCTAATTACAGAATTAAGGTCTAAAAATACATCTAATATAAAGACAATTAGAGAGCTAATTTAGGCTAATATACAACTATTAAATATAGCAGTCAACAGCTGTATAAGGTACAACTGTAATATTTCCAACACCTCCCCTCAAGTTGGTGAATGTATATCAATCATTCCCAACTTGGATACATTTGACTCAAAACTTATTCTCAATAGTGGTTTTGTCAGAATATCAGCTTCTTGATCGGTTGAGGGAACATATGAGAGCTTTATCTTTCCACTTTCAATCTCCGACTTGATGAAATTCCTATCAATACGGACATGTTTCATACGATGATGTTGTATAGGATTATAAACATTTGCAATCGCTGGTTGACTATCACTGTAGAGGTGTAGTTGACCGTTAACATCAATTTTCAATTCTATTAATAATATGTCCAACCATATTAACTCACAAATTCCTTGTGCAGTAGCACGATACTCTGCTTCGGTACTACTTCTTGACACGACTGATTGCTTTTTGCTTCTCCAAGTGACCACATTTCCCCAAAACTTGGTACAGTACCTTGTTGTTGATTTGCTATCTGACCAATTTGCATTAGTAAATCCCTCAATCTTTCGGTTCTCGATTTTTTTATAGAGCATTCCTTTTCTAGGTGTTCCCTTCAGATATCTAAGGATTTGATCAACTGCATTTTGATGGCGAATAGTTAGAGCATGCATAAATTGACTTACTTGGCTAACACTATAGGCAATATTCGGCCTAGTGAGTGATAGATAAATCAGCTTTCCCACTATTCGTTGGTATCTTTCTCTATTTGTTGGAGGGTCTTCTTCAGTCAACTTTTCTTTCCAGTTCTTTTCCATTGGAGTAGTTGTTGGTCAGCAACCAAGCCTTCCTGTCTCTTGTAGGAGGTCTAGGATATATGTTCTTTGTGAAATGAAGATTCCATCTTTGCTTCTAGCAATTTCTATTCCAAGAAAATATTGTAATTTTCCTAGATCCTTGACTTTGAATTCTGATTACAGTAGCCGTTTGAGGTTGTTGATCTCGTCGACATCATCTCCGGTGATTATTATGTCATCGACATATACAATCAAGATACATCGTTTTTTATTCTTTGAGTCTTTAACAAACAGAGTATGATCTGCTTGTCCTTGGTGATATCCAAAATTCTTCATTACCTTGCTGAAATGAGTAAACCAAGCTCTGGGAGATTGCTTTAGCCCATATAAAGCCTTTTTCAGTTTGCATACTGATCCGGTTATTTCTTTGTGCTTGAAACCAGGGGGTAGCTTCATGTACACCTCTTCTTCTAGTGTACCATTTAAGAAAGCATTTGATACATCCATTTGATGTAATTCCCAGTCAAGATTAGCTGCGATGGATAACAATACTCTTATGGAATTTAGCTTTGCAAAAGGTGCAAATGTTTGTTCATAATCGATTCCATATGTTTGAGTATATCCTCGAGCAACTATACGGGCTTTGTATCTCTCAATAATCCCATTCTTGCCAACGTTCACAGTAAAAATCCATTTACAACCTACTAATTTCTTTCCTTTAGGCATATCAACAACTTCCCATGTCTTGTTTTCATTTAATGCTTTTAATTCTTCAAAGACTGCTTCCTTCCACTTTGGATCCTTTAACGCTTCATGAATGTTTGAAGGAATAGTGGTGTCATCAAGTTGAGATACAAAGGCCTTGTGATTTTTAGATAACCTTCCATAGGACAAGTGTTTTGAAATAGGATGTTGAGTACAAGATCTTACCCCCTTTCGGATTGCAATAGGAGTATCAAGATCATCCACTTTGGATTTTTCTTGATGTAATTCTTGTGGAGGATCTGAAGTTGGTTCTGATGGCTGGTTTTGCTGAGTTACACGTGGTCTTCTCGAGTAGACACGTAAAGATGGTTCTTCTCTTTGAACAGGTTCTGAAATTTGAATTGGTTCAGGGATGATGTTTTCTGTTACCGGGGTTATAGATGGTGATATAGACTCAGAAATAGGCAACATTGGAAGGGATATAGATGGATCCCAATGATTCTCTTCATTTAAAGTCTCCCCCTGAAGAGAATCATAAGAGTAAAATGGCTGATTTTCAAGAAATGTGACATCATAAGATGTAGAGAACCTTTTTGTGTGGGGGTTGAAACATTTGTACCCTTTTTGTGTAGACGAGTAACCTACAAATACACATTTTGTTGATTTTGGATCAAGTTTTCCTTTGTTGGGATTGATATTGTGAACAAATGTTGAACACCCAAAAACTTTTGGAGAAAGAGAATTAATTACTCTGGACTCGGGAAAGGTTTTTTGAAGAACACTGATTGGTGTTTGGAATTTTAAAGGTTTTGAGGGAAGTCGGTTTATTAGATAGGAAGCAGTTAGGATTGATTCCCCCCAAAAAGATTGTGGCACATGACTAGAGAACATGATTGAACGTGATACATCTAAAAGATGTCGATTTTTACGCTCGGTGATCCCATTTTGCTGGGGAGTTGAAGCACATGAACTCTGATGCAAAATACCATTTTCTGAGAGGTATCTTCCTAAGTTACTAGAGAGATATTCCCCCTATTGTTTGTTCGAAGTATGTGAATATTGCTTTAGAATATGTTTTTTATCATGCTGTGAAATTTTATGAACACATCCGCAGCATCCGATTTGTTTTTTAAAAGAAAAACCCAACATACACGAGTATGGTCATCTATGAAGGTGATGAACCAACTCTTGCCACTTAGGTCCTTGACACGAGAAGGACCCCAAATATCACTATGTATAATATGGAATGGTTTTGAGGGTTGGTATACACGAATGGGGTAGTTTCTTCGTGTTTGTTTTGCAAGAATACATGATTCACATAAGAATGAAGAGACATCTTTATTGATGAAGAGGTATGGATACAAAAGCTTCATATACTGAAAACTAGGGTGTCCTAACCGTTTATGCCAAAGGATTACATCAGAATTTAAGATACTTGATGCAAATAGTGCTAGACACGAGGTTGGAAAATGAGAATGACCAGTGAGGTAGTAGAGACCATGTTGTACCTTAGCATTGCCAATCATCTTCCCCGAACGTAGATCCTGAAATACACAAAAATCACAAAGAAAAATTACTTGATAGTTTTGATCTTTTGTTTATTTTCTCACAGACAGAAGATTATGTTGAACACGACTCTTTGTATGGGAAACAACAAGACTTTTATTAAGACACTTAAGAAGACCTTACACTTTGTGAGACTACTACACACTTTGCTTTCTTTGAGGCTTTCTTGGATGGTTTGGAGCAAATGAGCTCCATACCTATTTATAGGCCTCTTAGGAAGGTTCTAGATACTAGCATACACTTACTACATACTAGATAACTCTAGAACATACTCTACATCCTTCCATATGTTTCTAGAACATTCTACCATGTTCTGGAGAAGTCTAGGTTGCTCCAGTGTCTTCTAGAATGATCCATAACCTTCCAGGGTCTTCCATGTCGTTCTAGAGTATTCTAGACTCTTCCGGTATATTCCAGAGTCTTCCATAGTCTTCCATAATGTTCTAGAATCTTCTAGAGCATTCTAGAACAAGCTAAAGTTTTCTAAATAATATTTTTTTATTGGGCTAGTGATGATCTTTAACACTCCCCCTCAACACTAGCCCTCATTCTTCGTACCATGTTAAGCTGACAGCGAAAACCTTCACATTTTCCAGTACTCAGCCCTTTGGTGAACAAGTCTGCTATTTGGTCATCGGTCTTGATCTGCCGCATCTCAATTTCTTCCATCAAGACTTTTCTCTGATAAAGTGATAATGCACTTCCACATGCTTTGTTCTAGCATGAAATACTGGATTTTCTGCCAGCCGAATTGCAGATTGGTTGTCACAGTGAAGTGGTACTGCATAGTCAACTTTTTGATGTAAGTCCTCCATTAGGAGTACCAACCATGTACTTTCTTGAGCTGCTACGCCGCTGCTTTGTACTCCGCTTCCGTGGTTGACAATGATACTGTTGGTTGTCTTTTACTACACCATGATATTGGTCCTGACCCAAGCTTGAACACATACCCAGTGGTTGATCTTCGGGTATCATGGTCTCCTGCATAGTCAGCATCACAATATCCAACCAACTTGCAGTCTTCTCCTCTTTTATACAAGAGACCATAGTCAATTGTACCTTTGACATATCTCAAGATCCGTCGGGCAGCATCCAAATGAGGTTTCTTCGGACTTTGCATGTATCGACTCATAACTCCAACTGCATAAGCAATGTCAGGCCGAGATAAAGTTAGGTAGATAAGACTACCTACTAGTTGTCGATACATCGTTCCATCGTCCAACTCTTTTCCTTCATGAGCACATATCTTGGCATTTGGCTCTATTGGTGTTGATATTGGCTTACACTCCAACATGCCAAACTTTTGAAGTATATCTCTTGTATACTTTTGTTGGCAGAGGAACAACCCTTCCTTTGTACGATCAACTTCTAACCCCAAGAAGTGTTTAAGTTCCCCCAGCTCTTTCATTTGGAATCGCACCGATAGATTTTCTCTTGTTTGATGGATTTCTCTTTCGTCATCCCCGGTGATGATCAAGTCATCCACATAAACCAACACAATTGCCAACTTCCCTTCTTTTTCTTTGATGAATAGGCTTGAGTCTGCATGTGCAACTAAATAATCACTTCGGGTAAGAAATTCAGCAATCTTACCATACCAGGCTCTTGGTGCCTGCTTCAATCCGTAAAGAGCTTTTCTCAACTTGCACACATGATTGGGATTAACTTCATCCTCAAATCCCTTTGGTTGGTTCATGTAGATCTCCCGATC